TATAGCGTTTTTCACTAGCAGAGCTGGTGCGCACTCAGTGCACTTTAAAACCGTTGTACACAAATCGATGTAAAGATGTACGTTTAATAAAAATATAGAAACTAATTAAACCGTGAAATCTTCAATAAATTTTATTGTATATGTGGTATTTGATAAAATATATATTGGGTATTTTATTAATTTAGATATATCACTTTTACATTCAGATTAGGTTAGTGTACAACTGCTTTAATGTGTACTGAGTGTGCACCAGTTCTGCCAGTGAAAAACGCTAATACATGCATAGATTTTGTGAAGATAACAGATTTCGTAAAGAGTTTTAAGCCCATTTCAGACTATCGATTCTGCAGACGAACTCGACTGCCAATTGAAAACCGATCAGAATTACCTAATTATAATTAACAAGGCTAACTGATTATAATTGATTCATTATAGATCGGCAGTCAAAATTGATAGTCGAACAATCTGCAAAGTCTAGTAGTCTGATACAGGGGATTCTAAAATGAAGACCGAACTTCGATGGAATTTCTGTCTACTATTCAATAATATTTACACACGTACAATTTAAGGTTATTGTATCGCAAAATGACTTTTCTTAAGATTTGTTTGAAACTTTTACTATTTATCCTTACTTTTTAATCCTTACTTTAATTTATACTTGGACAGCGAACATCGTGATACTCGCACGCATGGCGGACGCAGGATTAAAAGTGTACACAAAGTGACCCCAACAAATTGGTCACTTTGTGTACACTTGTGCGGTGTATTGAGCCTAGATGAACATGCGATACTGACGAAAGATTGCATCATTCGACCAGCCGAACACACCAGTTGCACCAATACCCGAAATATGCAGTCGGTGAGTCCCAGCCGAAATCACTATGTACAAAAACGAATTGCAAATTATGAAATACATGTTTTATTAACAGTACAATAAAAAGTATTGGAGATTGTATGATTTAACCTGTTTTTAATATATTTTTACGGCAATTGTGTACGACAGCTATGTGTGCACTAATGCATCCCAGCCGAAATCACTATTCATTGTATAACAGTCTTTATATGCATTAATGCATCCCAGCCGAAATCATTATAAGGTGCTTTTCATGCTGACGCTCGACGCTCATTTTCAGCGTCAAAATAGAATATATGATCAAAATTGACAATGAAAATGCATGAAAAGTATGTAGTGCTATATACATGTGTACAGACGCTAGTGTTAAAATTAATATCACGCGATCACACTCATACTGTTTTTCAGCGTCTCATGAAATGGCACCTGTACCGTCAACTACACTAACTGGCCCCAACAAATTTGTTGGGGTCACTTTGTGCACACTTGTACGGTGTACTGAGTCCAGACGAACATGCGACACTGACGAAAGATTGCATCATTCGACCAGCCGAACACATCAGTTGCACCAATACCCGAAATATGCAGTCGGTGCGTCTCAGCCGAAACCATTATCAGTACAAAAACGAATTGCAAATTATGAAATACATGTTTTATTAACAGTACAATAAAAAGTATTGGAGATTGTATGATTTAACCTGTTTTTAATATATTTTTACGGTAATTACATATGAGCTATGTGTGCACTAGTGCATTCCAGCCGAAATCGCTATTAGATCCTAAAGTGAAGCTCAACCTCCGAACAAAGTCACTAGATGTCACTATTTTTCCAGCGCATCGACAGGTCTTTATCTGGAGATACGGTAGTGTTTCGGCGCTAAGCCTAGCGTAGCGACACTGCCGTGCCTCCTTTACGCGAATTGGCAAGTTGCGGGGGTTTGAGATTATGTATAACAAAATGCGATCTGATGTCCTATTAATTATTCGATGAGGACCGGAATATGGACGTTCTAATGATTTTTTGGTATGATCCGTACACAGAAATACATGTGTGCAAGAATATAGGTCCTTGAAAACTGCGCGTTTCTCATGCTTATTTTCCACTGGAACAGGTTTGATTTTACGCATATATTCGCGAAATTCTTCGACGAAGATTTGCGGATTGACTGTGAAGTCGTCCGGAAGGACAAGTTCGCTAGGAACTCATAAGGTCGTTCCATAAACAAATTCCGCTGGCGACGCGTTTGTATTGTATCTAGCCGAACGTGAGTGCGCAGACCTAATAGCACTGTCAACAACACTCGTGTCCAGTCTGTGCCTGTATGGCACATGATTGCGGTCTTAAAGCTACGATGCCACCGCTCTATTAAACCGTTAGCGGCAGGATGATATGCTGTAGTGCGAATGCGTTGACATCCAATCAGCCGGAGAAGCGCGGAGAAGAGTTGCGACTCAAACTGACTGTCTTAATCGGTTGTTAAAGTTTGAGGTGTTCCGAAATTGGTTATCCAATTATCATAGAAAGCTTGTGCCACCGTGACGGCTTCGATATCTTGGAGTGGAACTGCCACTGGCCAACGAGAAAATCTGTTTATAATCGTTAAACAGTATTTATAATCGTTTGATTCCGGCAGCGGACCTATAATGTCCATGTGGACGTGTTCAAAACGGTTGTCCGGCGCAATGAATTTGTCGGGATTAGTATGGACGTGCCACGAAATCTTGGACTGCTGGCAGTCCGTGCAGTTTTTTCACCACTTAGCAATGTCACGATGCATGTTGAGCCAAACATAACGTTGACGAATTACTCGATCTGTAACCTTAGGGCCAGAATGGGCCGTATCATGGAACATGTGGAAAACGCGCTCACGCAGGAATTCAAGAATATACGGACGAATTGCTTCGCCGGTCATTTCACAATACAGAGTGGTGTGAGTCGGTCCCCATTGTATGCGCTTCAAGGACAGCGGACGGTCTCGGTTTTCTAACAGCGATTTCAACTCTCTATCGAGTTCCTGTTGCTGCGCGAGCTCGTTTAGCTCGATATCAACTAGCAACCGAATTGATTCAACGCGAGAGAGTGAGTCGGCGACTACATTGTTACTTCCCGAAAGATACTCAATGCGCGTAGTGAACTGCGAGATAAACGAAAGTTGTCTCTGTTGGCGCGGCGATGCCTTATCCGAACGTTACATAAATGCATAAACGAATGGTTTGTGATCTGACAATATTTTGAATGTGCGTCCTTCAACAAAAAATCTAAAGTATTTGACCGCTTCGAAGATCGTAGTAAGTTCTCGATCGTAGGCACTGTAATTTCGTTACGCGCCGTACTAAATTTGCGCGAGAAGAACGTGAGCGGCTTCCACGAATCGTCGAGACGTTGTTCGAGAACGGCTCCCATAGCAAAGTCGGACGCGTCGCAAACTAGGCGCGTTTCGGCTGAGTCAGATGGATGGGACACTTGTATTGCGTTGGCCAGGGCGTCCTTACATTTACTGAACGCCTCTTCGGCTATCGATGTCCACGCAATCACTCGCTTATCATTCTTGCGCGAATCGCAGAGATACTCGTTCAATGGCGCTTGAATGGTGGCTGCATCAGGCAAGTCTGCGGTAAAAATTGATGAGACCGAGAAAACGACGCAATTCGATGATCGTCCGAGGCTTGGGAAAGTCGCGAATGTCCTGTATTTTTGACGGAATGGGCTTGCAGCCTTCACTGTTTATTACGAACCCGAGAAACTTCAATTCATGTTTACCAAATTGGCATTTCTCGGTGTTGAGACGCAAATGAAATTCTTTGAGACGTTGCAAGACAATACGTAAATGCTTTTCGTGCTCCTCAGGCGACTCGGACGCTATAAGTATGTCATCGATAAACGCAAATACAAATTCAAGATCACCGAGCGCACGAAAGATGTATCGCTGGAATGTTTGGCTGGCATTTCTAAGACCATAGGTCATACATTTGTACTTGAATAACCCAAAGGGTGTGATCACCAATGTTTTTGGAATATCCTCTTTCGCGACAGGAATCTGATTGTATGCTTGACGGAGATCAAGTTTAGAAAATACGGTCTTGCCGCGTAGAATAAAAGAACAATCATGCAAATGCGGTACAGGAAATTTATCCGGCACGGTAATTGCATTGAGACGGCGATAGTCGCCGCAGATCCTCCATGACCCGTCTTTTTTATGTACCATGTATATAGGGCTTGCCCAGGGACTATTAGATGGCTCGCAAATACCGAGGTCTACTAATCGTTTAAATTCGGCTTTCGCTGCTTTGAGCTTGTCCTGATTCAGTCGTTTTGGACGCTCCGCTACGAGTGGACCTTCGGTGACGATGTGGTGACACATGTCATTATTACTACCTGGAGTTGATTGGTCAAGACCGGTGACCTCCGGAAATTCTGCTATAATATACGCGAATTTAATGGCGGGGTTTACTGAACTGATTGGTGGAACTGATACAGCTCTAATGAAACCAGATGTAAATGCATTGTTCCGAGAGTCTGCGACCCTTGAGATCTGGTAGGAGGCCATAGAACGAAATTAAGTCAGTTTTTATTATTGGATACGGAACCGCGGCTATACAGAAATTCCACGTGAGTGGACGAATACCGAGATGAAGAATCCGAAACGACTCACCATATGTATCAATTAGGGTGTCGTTCGCTGCGTACAGCTTGAGATTACTCGGTGTTTTTTTATTCGTTCTATTACAAGGAAGTAGTGAAATTTCCGCGCCGGTATCTATGAGAAAAACTTCGCCGGTCATGCGGTCGCGAATGTGGAGGCGAACAGAGGTGTTAATGTCTGCTGCATTCGCCTCCGTGTAAGCAAACACCTCTATTCCCCCGAATTAGCCCCCGTAATAGCCTTAGGCTTTGGCCACGTACACGGATCTTTTTCAGTGCCTTTATATTCGCGCTTGATCGCCAAACGTTTTGTGCGGCCAACAGACGTTAGAGCATCTTCTCTTGGAACGTTTGCGTTGTTTATCCGTTCCTCCTTTTGCTTGCGATCTGCTGGGTCTTTTAACTTCGGCCGCAAGAGTTGCAAGATCCGCAGCAAGACGATCGATTTTTGCTTCTAAGTCGGATGTTTTCGATTCTTTGAGCGACGCGGCGGCACATTGCGCTGATTCATTAGAAGTTTCCGTGATTTTGTCCGCCATTTTGGCTGATTTGTCGAGCTTGGTGCATTCAGAGGACATGAGGATGCCTCTGACGCACGGCGATAGATACTCGAAAAAAATAGTTTTAAGGACCGCCTCATCGCACCGCTTGTCAGGGTTGAGGTTACGTAGACGGCTGAGGATCTGCGACGGTTTAGCGGATGTCAATACTTGATCCTTAATCAGTTGGCGCAATTGACTTTCTCCCGAAGCCGAAAAGCTTTCGATGATACGCTCCTTAAGCCTAGTATACGGTTCATCCGCGTCGGGTTCCGCAATGAGGTCCCTACAACACGCGATCACTTCCGCATCCAGTGACATTATTACATGGTGAGCCTTAGTCTTTTGATCGGTAATGCGCGCGGCTTCGAAAGTAGCTTCCACTTGAATAAACCAGATTACTGGATCTTTAATTAGAAACGGTGGAATTTTGGGAACTCGGTAAGTATCAATATGTGCGAAATTCCCGATCGCACTCCCTTGCATTTGTTGGAACGTAGCCTGCAATTGTGCCAACTGATTAAGGATCAAGCTTTGAAGTTCTTCGACCGTGGGAGGTGCCATATTTATTCACTACGACACGCTACGTTATATACACTAACAATAAGTGTTTCACGCCTAACGACAGATGCGGTTTGTCCGGTGTGGTCTCTGCCCTAACTCGCCGCACGCGCCCGTCAATGAAATAGTCTGTATACCTGTTCAAACTAAACGGAGCTGCGATTAGGTGCTGCGACGTCACTTCCGTTGGAGAGCGCGGGAACGCGCCAATATGGCGTCTGATGTCGCCTAACGGCCGCCTGGTTGATGACGAAGTCCTGGCAGGACCCCACGTACAGAGTCGCTGCCTTCGATGGTACGTCGCTCTCTGGGACGATGACCAACCTGCCCCCGCTGGTATGTTTGGCGCGTGGTGTACAACGGTGATGCGTCCCCCGCAGGTCGCCCATGCGGTGTCCTCGAAGAAGCTCGCAACTTGTGCGCTGGCTGTTGTTACCATAGTTCTTTAATTGCTGAGAACTGCAGAATTCGCTCGATGTCACGATGACTGAAAAGTCTCTCTTTCACTCACAAATGCTGCTTGTTAGCGGCGCCGCCGTCGTCAGACCATGAGCCGTGTTACTTAGCTTGCAGCTTGCACGGCGATTGCCGGTCGTTGATCTTCGCCATCATGTCGGAATCACCAATGTGGACTTGTTCGTCATTATTTCAGGGCTAGCTTATAACTACAGCCCACGTCCTGCTACTGTGGACGAGGAAGAAGGTACAACACACTCATCTGTCGTAACTAAATAACTTTTATTTTGCTGCTGAGATTACGTGCGACTAGCTCGGCGATTGAGAGAGTTCTATTCGAATTCTTACTGCATGCAGGCAGCTAATCCCCTGAGTCGGGAAAAACTCTAGCTTGCCTGCTTTAGGGAAAAATGGCTGACGATGTCCCCACAGTTGTAAACCATCTGTGATTTGGAGACACAGTAGTGTCTCGGCGCTAATGGTACGTGTTCATGGTGTCGCTCGTCGCTCATTTTCAGCGACAAATGAGTCACGTGATTTCATACGTCGCTGACTTCGATATCGTTCGTGAAAATAGGTAGTAGCGATACATTGTTATTTGACGGTTATATTCAGTTGTACTGTCCAACATAATGTTACATCAAGATAGATATTATGAGTGGACCTGCCATGTTGCCGTAATTACGTACAACAAAAATGAAGAAGAACGGCGAAGACTAATAGCAGCTATATGCGTTAATGCATGTACAAACTTAAAAAGAAATTATAAAAAGAAGAGATTTTGAGTCGATCCATTATTTAAAAGACGACATGAAAATATGGATTTTACTATGCATTTATTTTGAGACTGACACCACAGAATTTCCGGAATTATTATCGTATGACAGCTACGCAATTTGAGACCTGCTACAATTAATGGCACCCGCAATCATTAAACAAACTGTGATTAGAGAACCATTACTTCCTGTAGAGCGACTATCCATAACATTGAGGTTTGTTTGTCTTTATAATTGCATTATAAATTTATAAAATAATCAAATATAATTTTATAAATTATTATATTAAAAAATATAATAAAAATTTATAAAATTATATTTGATTTAATATATTTATATTTAGATATTTAGCAACTGGTGATTCGATGCATTCAATGTCATTTATCTCGTTGGAGTATCAACAATAAGCCACATTATAGGTGAAACTTGCGATGCTATATGGAACTCTATCCATCAGAATGTGATTCCACCATCAAAAACTACAGAAGAATGGCTACAGATTGCTAAAAAATTTGAAGAGAGATGGAATTTCAATCATTGTATAGGAGCAATTGATGGCAAACATGTTATTATTGAGGTAATATTAATGATCAATTACATACATCATTAGAGATTACAAGTTTGTGATACCTGATTATTTCTTTTCCAGTGCCCATAACTCTAACGCCGGATCATCTTATTATAATTATCGTTATCATAATTCAAGGTAGATTTTACGGCTTTTCGATTATCTTTTTTATTGAGATACCTATTTTTATTTTCTCCATGTGATGTTTCTTTGTTTATTGCAGGAAGCGTTTTAATACTTCCTAAAATCAATTTCATTGGATAATGCAGACTTATTATTGCAACTTTCAAGATTTCAATCAAAGTTTCTATTTACCTGAAATGTTTTCACAAACTGGCAAGATGATTTCTTCGCGTGCGCGTTGTCAACAAGGCTTCGTCGAATAATGCGATTATCGTTTACAAATAATAGAATAAATTGTAGTAAAATATTCTTTTTAATGATGTAACATAAAAAATTAAATAATAAATATAAATCGAATGGTATAACGAGCCAAACAAATCTATTTAATATTTAATGTGTATGAACAAATATTACATACGTTTAGACCACTCTCAGGTCATTCTAAAGAGGTCAAAATTAATATATGAATTATGATACTTCTTACTTCAGACATATTTATAAAATTATATTTGATAAATAATCCATCATATTCCATAAATAATCAGTCGATATAAGTTACAACCTTCAAAACGCGATCCAAAGACATTATTAAGTAAATGCGTATGTATTGTACCTGTTACTGGATAGAAATATAAATTATCATCAATAAAGAATTGGTTGTATGCTTCCACACACTCATGAGTCTGAATGTCTTTTTCATCCATGATTATTTCGCATATACCACAAGTATATACAACAGTCATTTAAAAATTACATGAAATTATCGCAATTTTAACAATATTTATCTTATTAATTTTATTATACTTATCTGCTCTTCCATGTTTAAATTTTTGCGTAAGAGTGATATCGCTAAAAGTTTAATTAATCCAACTTTTCAATTACGTCGCTGGCGACAAGAAAGTAGATGAATTGAGAAAGAATTCGGTCACGTGACTATTTATCGCCTCGACAAGCGACATCATGAAATTGTACCTTAAGCCAAGCGTAGCGACACTGCCGTCGCTCCTTTACGTGAACCAGCGAGTTGCGCTGGATAAATAATAAATTACATAGGACATAGGGCGGAATCCATAGATTTTAGAGATTCTAGTAGAATCTGCTGAACGCCACCTATGACATGTTCCATTATGATTGGCTACATGTTGAGCTGGTTCTATATTAGTCGCATTGCAATGTCGCAAGCGTGTCGCAAGCGTTATGATCCAATCAGAGTCGAGCTAGCTTGATGTTGATTGGACCGCAACGCTTGCGACGCTGCGATGCGACTAATGTAGAACCAGCTTCGCATGTTAAACGCGCGAGAAACGTTTCCGCATGTAGTTGATGAAGTACCGTTCTTGTGAAGTTCTTGTGAGTTTTGCGTGAATTTCGAATGATTTAAAAAATTCCTCGTGATTTTTTAGTTCTTGGATTTCATTTCGATTGATGTGTTTTCGTTTCGATCCGAGTGTGAGAATCACTGGGATAATCAAAGTAAGGTTAAATATTTATTCAAAACAAATCAATTTAAACGACTAAATAACAAGCAATGTAAGGTGTTAAGTAACTATATTTATTATAATTTTACATATCAGTAATTATCAACTATAAACGTTTCGGCTACACAGAGCCTTCTTCAGTACAACTAAGTATAAATTTTACGCTTAAAAATATATTACAATTAAAGAAAAATTACAGAACGTTATTGTTGGTGAACCAAGTCAATCTTCCAAGGATGTCCAAATTTTAAATGCAAAAACTAAATTCCACGTTTAACGACGAGAATTATGTTTAGTCCCATCATATTTGTTGTCTCTAAAGATATACGTCAATTTATAAAATAACTCACTAATAAACCTATGTAATCAATACTCACGTAATGGTGCGCCAACAATCTTCTATAAATTAAATAACGAAATAATGTTTTTATAAATGATCATTTTAACAATAACGAGATGTAATGTTTGTTTGACAATTACATGACAAATTTTTCTATTTAAATTAAATTTTTTCATTTTATATGGTTAATTCTTTATTTTGTGGTAACACTTAAATTGAGCAAAGTAACGCAATTTTGTGATAATGTTTTGTATAATGTTTTGAAGGAGAATTAAATAACCACTACTTTAGTTGGTAGAGAAAATGTTTTTGAATGAATTATGATATAATAATTTCATTTTTTAAAGAGGAATTTAAACCATTTGGATTGTGTGGAATAGGAAGATTCTTCAATAAGTATACGTATACTTAGGTTTCATTGTATTATATAATATAAAAATTAAAGATAGTACCATTTGGATTAAGTGAATAATAAAGATAGTATCACTTAGATTTTACTTTTTATTTTGTAGTAGAATTTAACTTGGCGCCATAGTTGTTGATATCAAATCGTTTGTACAAATAATATATATCATTAGATTAATATTTATTATTTAATTTGGCGTGATATAAAGAAGTAGGATTTAACTTGGCGCCGGTTCTTGATATCAAATATTTAATTTGCTGCCCGAATTACATGGAATTTAACTTGGCGCCAATTGTTGATATCAAATCTTTTTTACGAATAATACATAAAATTTTGATGAATTTAATTAAATTAACAGAATTTAACTTGGTACATACTCGTATATCATTAGATTTAGTAAAAACATTAACAGAATTTAACTTGGCGCCACAATTGTTGATATCAAATCTTTTATACATATGATACATATATCATTAGATTTAGTAAATTTTGTGATATATTATTTAAAAGTGAATATTTTCATGTAATAATTTTTGAAGGGAAATAAAGCCATTATAACTTGGGTTGGAATGTATCATATACAAAGAATTTCATCAAATAGCAAACGCAATTAATCATCAGTTCCACGGCTGATTAAGTAATTGGCGTTAGTGAAACCGGCCCAAATGGTGGTTCTACACGAGAAATATATCAAAACGACTGTCATCTATACATAATTTAACTTAGCATCAATTATTGATATCAAATCTTTTGTACGAGTCATACATAAAATGTTGTGGAATTTAATTTGGCACACATCCGTGTTAAAAAATTTAACTTAACATCAATTGTTGATATCAAATCTTTTGTACGAGTA